TCGCCGGGGCAGGGACCATCAGCCTCACCATCTCGATCTGCCGGATCTCCAATTGGGTAGCGCTCGGCTGCTTCAGTTTACCTGTACAAAAGAAACGAAATTAATATAACCAAAGGATAACAGAATCAAGGAATCCTTAAAAACGGCATGATGGCCTACCGGCGATTTGGAACGTGGAGGGAATGTGGAAACGGACAGGGTGTCCCGAGGGAGACTCCCAGTCACCGGACAACAGCACCCGCAGTTTCCTCCACGTCTTCTGGGAGGTCGGAATGGGGTTGAAAAAATGGCCACGATCGGTAGCCTTCAAGCAGTTAGCTTGAACCCAACCCCCATGATCGGCAGACTTCAACTTCGTGATGCTGTACATATGGGAGAACTGCTCGTACGAAGGCTCTCCCTCGCCAGCCATGCCGAAGGCTGTGATCACACCCATCAGCGCTACCCAGAAGTTGGGGTTGAACTGGCCGGGAGCATAGCCTATCTGCGCTAGGATCCTCTGAACGGCGGGCTGCAGAGGGAGCCTCACCCCTTGCAGAAGTACATCCGTAAAAAAGACGACTTCGCCATCTTTCGGACTGCTTAGAGATTCAGTAGGACCTGGGATCCTCATGCCTACCGAATCTGGGATAAGATACTCAGCCCGAAACCTCGCGATCTCCCTCTCAGTGATCCTGTTGGGCTTCAGGTAATCTACGCCGAAGACTAGATCCTTCGGAACAGCCATCTGCACCCTAGGGTTGCTGGGAAAGACTATCGAAACCCTCGGCCGGGGAGATGGTTAGGCAGCTGGCTCTCCGCGACCGGAGGTAGAGGCCTTTGGCTGGCGACTGGCGCTCGCCTCCCCAGGGGCGCCCAGACCCACATGGCGACCGTCGCCCTAGATAATAGACAACGGCACCCCTTCAACATCGGAGTCAAAGAGACCATCCGATGACTCCTCATCGAACGCGTTGGGCTCACGCTCGGAGAATGACTCTCTATCGAACATCTACAAAAACAGGGAAGAAAGGAAACTAAGGCTCATACCGAATGCTATCCTACCGATCCCTACATCACTACCTATGGCTACTAGACTACCGAACGGAACCCTATGGTCAGTCTAGTTCAAACCAAGGAAGGACGTACTCTTAAGGTATGCAAAGGGAAAAAGGAGATGCCGAACGGTACCTTGGTTTAGCTTCTAGAGGATGAGCGCAAACTGTGCTTCAGATCGTCTGGACAAAAATCGCCCTTCCTACTGTTAGTGGTGCCGGAAATCGCCTGATTGCCGTTCGCAAACGTCGGAAATCGCCTTGAATACCGGAAGCTATCGTCGGAAATCGCCTCAGCAGAGCTCTCATTTTTCACTAAGTGCAAAGTGAGTCTCCTCCCAGGTCACTCCTATTTATAGGGCGAGAGTCCGCAACGGTACACCTCGAGAAGCCAAACGGCGCATTAAATGCCCCGCACGCCATCATTACTTCCGCCACGTGTCGCTCATCCTATGGAGGACTGACGGCACGCGAGGAGCGGAAGTCGAAGCGCTCAGACGCCTCTTCGCCTGTCTCCTCAACGTGACCTTCTGACTACCCAAACGTCAGCTTCTGAACGGGCAAGAAAGAAAGGCTCAGAGTTGAGCCCTTTCCATTAAATGGCCCTACCGAACGGTACGACAATGTTTTCTTCTGAGGGCAACTTCAAATCCCCTTCCGAGAATTCTCGCAAGAGGACTTGGGGGACTCCTGTTTATACCAAAATGAACAGCCAATAAACATTTGACACGTGGACCAAGCTGGAGCTATGGGAGCCTTCGGCACCTAGCTTCGGCATCTTACCTACCGATCGCCCTATTAGGGCAACCTTGGCATCCGGATCACGTGGCAGTCACACAATCAATGTCCAGAGTCCCACATCGAAACTCTAAGTAAAATGCACACCTCCCAAGGCCTATAAAAGAGGGCAACCATCTCAGCTTGGAGGTAATCAATCAGAACTAACGACACACTGCCTATTGATCTGTAGTTCAAACTTACCAAATCCGTACTTACTTAAGCATCGGAGAGCCTTCGGCCGGTATCACACCGGTACCTAGGACTTACCGAGCGTTTGCTATCTTACAGGTGTAACTACTACCGAAGTCATAGCATACCGAAGGTAACAAAATCACAAAGTTACGCGGGAAAAGGACAGAACCATTTTTCTGCATCAACACCACCAAAAGAGTACCCCTTAATTGCTTTGAAACTGTGTCAGTTATAAATAATGCCCCACGTGTTTCGGGGACACCTGAATCGTGTGGTGCGTGGAATGCGGCTCAGGCTCACCAATGGTCCCCTGAGGCCTGCGAGGATTGCGGCTCAAATAGACTTCGTATCTCCGAGGCTTGCAAGGATTGCGACTCGAGTAGACTTGGTGTCTCCGAGGTCTGCAAGGATGGAATTGACGGATTAGGAATGGGGGTATGCCTAGGTGGAGAGAATTTCAGTTTTGAGATGTTCTTAAACTAAAATAGAGAGAGTTCAGTGTATGACATATTTATATTCAATATATAACTTATACGAGTATTGGGAAGTTACAAGTATTGCTTTAGAGTTGTGAATATGACTGAATATAACACACACATGAGAATTCACCCACGACCTCCCATTTCTGATCCGAGAGTTCCTACGGGTTCAACAAGGTTTATATATACCTATCCTACAAGTCTTGTTCGAATCGAACGACCGGATCGCTCACGATCGAATGGTTATCATTTATCTAAAATTTTAATTATTAAATCGGAGTATCCGGGACTTCGATTCTCGATCCGTGAATTCCTATAAGATCCTCAAAGTGCCTAAATCAACATATTTGAAAAAAGAGGCCGATCCAACGGTCCAAACATATCAAACCCAGATAACACCTAATATGCGATATCCGATCTACAATCAAACAGTAACCAAATTGAAATCCGATCATACCGTCGTGCTCGGGACGACATGAGGATCATTTTAGGACCACGAGGGACACTCAAATAATGCCCACGAGCCGCCACACTCGCCGATAGTGCGTGAGTGTCTAAAGTGATTCCGGCGATCAGAAATTCTCCAAACTTCTGGTCAAGACCTATACCTACATGATTAGGACAATGAATGGAGCAACTTTCATTCTTGGACCACCAAAAAGTGGCCGAACATGGCCGGAATCGTGAGCCGAAAACCGGCCAGAACTTTAAGCGATAAAATTCGTTTCAAAGCGCAGAAATTAATCCTAAAAAAATCCAACCAATAGCTAGAACACATTGAGAGGATGAAAGAGCATACCTAGATCGAAGAATTTGGTAGCCGAAATCGCCCGAACATGCGATGGAGATTTTGGGTAAAAACCGGCCAATTTCTTACTTTTTCCGGCGATCCAGACAGCGGTTGGCAGCGGCTGAGGTGTGGGGTTGGTAGAGGACGACGTGCTGGTTCTTTTGGTACCCATGTCGTCGCTTGGGGTGGCTGGTGGTGGAGATGACAGCCAAAAACTGTTCGAACCAACAGTAACACAGGGTAGGGGCTGCTGCTTGCCAAGGAGAGGGAGGAGGAGAGAGAAAAAAGAAGAAAAAAGAAATATTTTAAAACAGCCTAGTTACTATAGCGGTACTGTAGTAGTACTATTTGCTACAATCACAAATTTAAAAATTCCCATTACTTTCTTTTCGTTTCTAGACCTTTCCTCCTTCGTTACAACTCGGAATTGTGCGCGCCGCATATCTCTGAACTCATTTCCACGAGCCCGACACAACGGTGTAACCCAATTCCCCAAATTCGTTTCCGAACAAAAGGTCAACTTTTAAACCCATTAAAAAATTCCCTAGGTAAAATTGTCTTTTCCTTGAATACTTGAATAATTAAATATTAATTTAGGATCGGGTTATTACAGTCTACACTTTATGCAGTAATAATAAATCGCATCAAGTAAACTGGTTAAATATGATCGAATAAAAACGTACGTAACAAGAGAAAGAAAAAGAGAAATTTGTAAAGCTTACGTTGCACTTCAATGTGAAACCTGAAGCAACTCTTTGGGCAAGTACTTCCCCTTCCTCCAAGCTTACTAATCCATCAGTAAACTGATTCAAAAACATGCTTGGTTAGTACAGTAGAGAAGAAAAATAAAAGTGAGAGAAATGTGAAAAAATATTTGAGAAGAAATTACGCGTTGTCTTTGGAACATGAGAAATCTTAGGACATTCTAGGCCAACCTTTTTTGCACATCTTTCCTCTAAACGGGTACATCCATCAACCACTAGCTCTTGTAATTGTCGAGGCATTGCATAGCTTTGACCGGACGTAGATACATCAAATTCTCGCACCTTTGAATACCCAGGAATGTAAGAAATGTAAAGTTACCTAACCACTCTGGCAAAGTCTCCACTTGGTTAAAAGATATTATAGACAAAGATGTGAGAGGAGTGAAGTGTTGAATTTGTTGAGGTAGAGACTTGAGCTTTGGCCATCCCCACAACCTTATTTTTTGAACTCTCGGTGGAGCCTCAAAATCAAGGAAACAATCAAGCTCCTCTGAGAACTCACGAATTGTTAGATGTTCCAAACGGGTCAGAAACTGCAAGCCAGTCAGCAAACATTGTAACTTCCCACAATCAAATATTTGTAAACGAGTTAGGGATTGTAGCCTAGATACATCCTCTGCAATAGATACCAAGTTGGGGCATGAGTCGAGTGACAAATTGGTAAGAGATGTGTAGGAGGCTAGCCCACTTGGTATACTTGTCAATCCTCCGCAACTACAAATATGCAACTCACGAAGGGATGTCAGGTTGTTCAAACTGGGAACAGCTTCTAGATTAGGGCAATAACATATTCTCAGCTCCTCAAGAGAGACGAGGGTTTGCAGCCCATCAATCGGTAAATGCATCAAGTCTGGACAAGTATTAACACACAGTGAATGAAGAGAAGTACAAGATTTTAGCCCACTAAATATACTTGTGAACCCTTTGCAATTTCGAATGTTCAAATCACAGAGGGATGTGCAACCAAGTAAAGACAACTCCTCCAGAGAACTATTGATGGATTCCAGTTCGTAATCATAAATAAACAATTTGCGGAGGGAGGTGAATTGCTGAAGGGTGGTAAGACATTCAAGACCACCTGCTAAGCTTGTTAATGCACCACAAAATTCAACTTCCAACATAAGGAGGGATGGTGGGAGGACTTGTAGAACTGGAATTGATTTGAGATTGGGGCAACAACTTATACTCGACATCTGAAGAGAGGTGCAATATTTTAACCCACTCGGTAAGCTTGATAGTTTCTTACAATCCTTAATGTTGAGTTCTAGGAGACATGGTACGCCTTCTGTAATTGGAATGAGCTCTAGATTAGGGAAACTTGATATAAACAACTCATCAAGAAGAGGAAGTTTGTGTAGCAATCCATCAGGTAAGTGCGTCAGGTTTTCAAAATGGCCGATAATCAGTGACCAAAGATTCCGGTTCTTTTCCACCATCCCTACTGGCAGAGAAGTAAGCTCCTTAATCCCTTGCATATAGAGGGAAGTGAGAGTGGTTAGTTGGCTGCATATGTTTTCTATTGGCATGACATTGTCAAGAACATGTATGTTCAACTTCCGGAGAGATGGAAAATGACTGGGAGCATTTTTCAATTGCATTAAAGAACTGAGACTCAACTCCTCACGGCAAGGAAACACAGCTACTGTTGACATCGTAGTTGCTTCCTTCCATTCAATTAAAGCGTGGCAAGAAACAAATCCTAACGTTTTCAATGTTGGGAACAAAGCTGCCCTGGTTTTGTTATAACCATAAAACTCATCTCCTAGACATTTAAGCTTATCCATAAAGTAAAAGTCAACATGTCTAAGATTTGGTAAATGGCCAAGTGTTGGGACTACTTCACATTCTCTGCAATTGGACAGAACAATCTTTTTCAAATTTCCTGGCAATCCACTCATCATCCATGACGCAAATTTAGAACCCAAGAAACTGCTGATGATAGTTCCCTCTCAATACTCTACTCAACAAAAATCAGTTACATACCTTGAAGTTTGGTCGGCGGCTTTTGGTGGGTTAAGCAGCAAGTTCGGTAGCAAGGTGGGTTTGGTGGTCTGATGGAGTATTCGGTAGCAAGGGGAACCATCAATTTTTCAACGGGTAGGCTAGCTACATTTATTAGCTAAAATTCTAATGATCATTGTTTTCGTACTTACAATTTCTAATCTTTGTAGAAATAAAAGTACACATTAAATCATGTAAATTACGATAGTTCATACCTCAACTGATTAATTTCCAATAATTAAAAAAAAATTATTTGGATACAAGCGATATTGGGGGATGGAAAATTGAACCTTAGACAAGGGTAAATGGTTTTATCTATTTAAGCTACAAACCCCGTGCAATTTCCAATAAGCTTTAAGTTAAAACAAATACATATTAAATGCAACCAAAAACCATATATTATCAAAATAAAAATATGTTCAACAACAAAATTGAAAGTGTACCTATTTTAATGTGTACTTTTATTGTTGCCATGCAATTAAATTCATAAATAATTGAATTTTTTTGAAACTTAGTAGGTTAATACATACTAGGCTATATTTGAAATAAGACAAATATGTAGGTTTAATTTTTTTTTTTTCCTGAAAACTTCACTGGGCTATTGTCCACTGTAGCCCTTATGGTAGTTCTGCCATATTCTGCAGTAAGGTGGATTTGGTGGTCTTATAGTGTTCTGCATCTAGCTCTTGAATGAGTTTGGTGTTGTGTGATAGAGTGTAGTGTAGTAGGGTGTATCAATGGTCTTTTTGTAGTTAAATATGATGTACTTAGTTAATTTTACATTTGGTCTAAATATTAGAGTGTAACAAACCCTATAAAAAGATGTTTTATTGATAATAAAAAATGGACAAACTACGTAAAATCCCCTAAACTATAGGGTCATTTTCAAGTTCATACCCAATTTTAGAGACATTTATGAGTACATACTCAAACTCCCGGAAACCCTACAAATTGCCCCCCTTGTTAGCCAAACCGTTAGTAAGTCTATTAAATGCTAACGTGTTAAAAGTTGGACCTCTTTTTTGATAATGTGGATAAAAAATTAATAAAAAAATTATTTTACTGTTTAAATTATTTTAAAAAATCTCTCTCTCTCTCTCTCTCTCTCTCTCTCTCCAACGCATCCAACCTCACCACGACCTTGCCTTGCCCACCCCTTCCCAGCCCCTTTCCATCTCTGCTCCAACCACCCTCTCCATCGCAGCCATCAACTTCCTCACAACACACCAGCGCACCCCCGACCCTCTCTCTCTCTCTCTCCAACGCAGCCAACCTCACCACGACCTTGCCTTGCCCACCCCTTCCCAGCCCCTTTCCATCTCTGCCCCAGCCCTTCTCTCCATCGCAGCCATCATCTTCCTCACAACACCACCAGCGCACCCCCGATCCTCTCTCTCTCTCTCTCTCTCTCTCTCCCCTTCAAGTCTTTCCCAGATTCCCAAATTTAATCACACTCAAAAGACCAAAGTTCATCACCGACACCAACCTTTCATTCTTGGCCCAAACATGCCCCAAAATCGAGGTAATCAACCTCAGTCTGGAAACCCCATATGAAATTTCATACCAATTTGATGAAGTATTAATCTTTGATAATGTTGGGGACGAAGGTCTTTGTGCTTTGGCAAAGGAGTGTCCCAAATTGTCCAAGGTTTTGCTCAAAAAGAGAAAGAATATTGGGAATTTTGGAGTTTTTTCACTGTTGAATTTATCACATAATTTGACGTATTTGGATTTGGGATTTTGTAGCTTGGTCTCGAACCAAGCCCTCGAAGCAATTGGGTCTGCAAATTCGATTAGCGTTTTGAGTTTGCAAGGTTGTTCATTGATTACACATCGTGGATAGGGGTTTTTGGCAAATGGGTCTTGCAGGGTGTGATAGAATCATAGACTTTGGGGTCTGGCTTTTGGAGCAAATGTGTTGCTAGGATTGATCATATGGAGAAAGTTTTAATTATTGGGCTTGTTTGTCAGGGCGGGCGAGGCTAGGTTTGTGTTCACCCATTTTGATTTTGATCTTGTGAAGGTGGGGTAAAGTTCCCTATTGGCTTGAAAACTATTGGTGGTCAACAAGTCAACTTTCTTTTGTGTATGCGCGTGCCACTGCTAGCAATAAAAACTCTAGTAGACTTCTTAAAAATAGATAATTTGCGACCCAAGTTATTGATTTCCAAACAAGCAATTGTGAATTTGGGTGAAAAATATCTCCCAAGTCAGTTCTTTTTTTGTCTCAGACTGGTGAGAACTTCATAATTTTTCACAGTACAAAATTGGTAGTTCTGGCCAGAATAGACAAAAAGAAAGTGAACTGTTTTAGGCAGAACTGCCTGTTACAGGATCAAAAACGAAATGACAACTCTGAAACAAGACAACAGAATGTTGGACTTTGATTTCTGCCTGCATAACTGCCTCTGAACCGGGCTGGATTGGATAGTCAACACCTTCAACTGATGAATTTTAGTTGGAAATTGATACCAATGTTTGAGTTTGGCAGAGCTTTGATTTATTTCAGGCCATGGAAGGCTTGCTGAACTGGCAAAATTGAGGCATCTTCAATTTGGAGAGGGCAAAAGTGGCTGGATTGATGATCACTGAGCTGGAGCTGCGCTATGGTACCTGTTCTGCTTGACCAAGGCTTTCTGCAAATTTGCTGATGTTTTCATAATTGTAAAAACTCGGACTCTGCTTGACTTGGCTTTATGCTGAACCAAATTTGTAATGAGAGAAATCTCGCTTTGTAAAACTGTTTCTCTGAGCTGAACTGGAAAAAACTTGAATTCTAGGTGACTTGTTTCTTGTTTGAAGATTTTGAGATCAAATGGATCTTTTTGAGTTTGTCAATTGTGACTTTGAGAGTTTTTGTCTTGATTGAATTTTTGGTTGTCCATCGATCTGTTCACCTCCTCTCATATTTCTAGAAAATGCTGGAGTAGGGATTTTTAATCTTTAAATAATGGGCGGCAAATATTTTCAAAAGATCTTTCTTTTTAAATGCCATAAAAAGGGGAATTTATCTATTCTGGCAGAAAAGCTATCAACAGTCAGTTCTTATGGTGATCATTTTCCTGCTTTTCCTGAAAGAAAACCTAATCCCTTCTTACTCTTTAACCGCCCTTTGTAAGAATGCAATCTGCCATGATGGTTAGTTTGCTTTTCCTGATGAACAACTCCCTGCTCCCTACTTATCTCTTTAGAAAATGTAGTCTCTTATCCCTTGGAAATGACACCTGCTCTGGTGTAGAATTTCTCTGTATATAGAAAGGGATTTTCATCTTTTGGCTGCAAAGATTCAAAGAAGTCTTCCTTTTATACCTGCCTTCATGAACTCTCTGTCAACTCCCCTGTGATAGTTGAAATTTTTGACTTTTCAAAGTCAGGTAGTCATGTGGGGCTCTTTTGAAAAAATCATTTTTAGAAAGAAAAGATCTGCTGACTTGCTTTTGCAATCAAGTGGCGAGAATTCTTTAGAAGTTGAGCCCAATCAAATTTCTTAGAAGTTTATCATTTAATTGGTAATTTGATTTATTTATTTATTTGTGTTTTTTAAACCTCTGCCACTCTTTGCAAAAGCCATGGGCCTCTAATGTTGTTTTTTTGTTTTGTTTTGTGGGCTTCTTTGTGAAAATGGGCTGGTACGAACGGTCCCAGACTTAATGATTGGCCAATCAATGATGCGCACCATTTCCTGCCGTTGCACTAGCGCCCGTCTGCCTATTCAATGTAGGCTTCATGGGGAAATGGGTTCTAACGGCTAATAAAATCCGAGCGAAACTCCTTTCTTCCCACTCTTCCCTCGATCTTCTTTTTTCAGTTTATAAAAAATTCTGAACTCCATTACTGTTCACTGGCAACCTAATTCTGTCTTAGCTTTTCATTTCCTCTTTAGCCTGTTCTTCAATTCTTCCCTGTTTATTGTTTGAATTCAAAGATGTCTTCCCCAAAAACTAGTGGCAAGAGTTCTTCTTCCTCTTCGTCTCCTGCTTATCTTACTGGAGATGGTGTCGATCAGCATGCGAATGAAGTTTGCAGCAAGCTCCACCCTTTTACCCATAAGAATTTGGATGAAAATGTTCTCCACCTTTTTGAGAACACACTCGTTTTGGGTCCTCACTGGTTTGGCGCGGTGCCAAAGGAAATGGTATTCAAGGAGGATGTTGAGGCTGCCCTTGGCCTCCAAAGTCCTTCAACATCACATGTTATTTCTCCTGTACTGGCTGAATAAGTTTGTCTTCCCAAACCACTCTTCAGCAGTTCTGCTTGAATACAAGTACCTGGCAGAGGCTCTGCACAACCATACTGACGTGGGGCTTGGTCCAATAGTCGGCCCATTTATATAAGAACCTTCACAGTGCCACCTTGGAGAATCCGTTGAATATTTTTGCTCCTGGGACATTCTGGATGATCCAGATCTGGCTACAGGTCTATTTCCCAGACATCGTTCTATCTGAAGATCAAGTCATGATGCTTCCCTTGATGTCAGCAAAAGTGCCCAAGTGCTCCATTGAAGAGTACATGATGTTCTTTAGGCGTTGTACTAAGAGGTCTGCTACTCAGTGGTAGGTGGTACTTAGAAGAATCTATCCTTGGTTCTAGCCTGGGTACAGATTGTTTGAGAAGGAACCTGAGGATGAAGAGGGAATTGATTTCAGGAAGAAGTTCTTGAGTGTAATGCTGCTCTAGGACCTGCCTTTTGGAAGTGGTAAGCCTCCTAACTATCATTTAGGCGGAGAGGTCTATCACCCCAACTTCTGTGCCAAGCAGCTTGGCTATCCCCAGCTTATTCCTTTGAAGTCCTATAGAAGGTGTGATTGAGGTACCTCTTGGAGAGATACAGATGATTTGGACCTGTACAAGGATTGTAGGTGTGCAGTTAATAAGATATACAATAGTGCAGATGCTAGGTTCACTGGTCTACCAGATTCCAGTTCTGCCACAAAAGTGCTTTTTGATGGCTGGGATTCCTGGACTGTCCATGCAGGGGCAGAGGCCAAGAAATTTATGATGCAGACGATCAAAGACATCAATGCCCAAGTCATTGAAGGTAAACTTTGAATTCTACCCCTTTTATTCCATTCTGTCAATGATTATTGCATTCTATTCTGATGCTGATGTTTTTATCTGTTCTGTTTGTTTGTATCAGATCCTTTAATTAACAAGAACCTTATGGGACAAGCTGTTTAGGTTGGAGAAGTGTTTGGTAAGTTTCTGAATTATGTTCTTCTCCCTTTTTTCCTGCTGGATTGCCTTCTAACTCTTTCTTCTCCTGTGTAGTTACTTCTGTCATTGCTGCTGGAGACTTGGAGCTCCCCTTTGGGGACGAAGAAGATCAGCATGAAACTCAGGCAGAACAGCCAACTATTGAGGTGACTCCTTTTGCCAAAAGGAACAAGAGAAAGGAGACTGTCCAGCCTGAAACCTCAGGTAATCTTAACAACGAGACTTTCCTTGACCCTGTTCTGTTTAGTCCATTTGTTCTAATCCTTTATCTTTGTTCTTTGTAGCCGAAAGTCCTCTTCCTCCTCCTATTAGGTCAAAAAGACTTAGGAAAAGAGCTGTGGCGGAATCTGAGGAGATAAAAGAACTTGCAACAGTTCCTACTGAAACTTCTAGGACTGATGAAGAGTTGAGGGAAGCTTTTGAAGCTGCAGGGCAGGAGAAGGAAGTAGACGTCTTAAGAGGAGATAAGAGAAAAGGCAAAGAAGTCGAATAAGAGGTAAAATCTTGTCTTTCATTCCTTAACATGATCCATTTTGTATCTGTTTTTCTTCTAATCTTGAATTCTGTTTATTTGTAGGAGGAGATCCCTATTCAAATAATAGCAGAGAGCATTGCGCTGGCTAAGCAACAACTAGAAGCTCAAACGACAGGGCCTACTGGTTCAGAATTGGCTATATTTGATGTTGTGGAGGCAAAACATTCTGCTGCTGTTCTAGAGCCTGAAGTAGAGGCAAATCATTCCATTGATGTCCCTGTTCCTGAGGTAACTTCTGTCCTTTCCTTATTCTATTTGGTTTTTGCAATTCTGTCTATCTTTATCCTTCTAATTGTTGTTCCTGTTTTTCTAGGTAGAAGAGGACAGAACTATTGGGACTTTGGCTGTGGTGACCAGCCCTTTCAAACCTCATGTTGTGGCTGTAAGTATCACTGTGCCTTTAGCCCTTCTTTTGTTCCAATTCTGCATGAAACTTAACTGCAATTCTTTCTTGCAGATGCCCATCCATTTTGTTCTAGGTTCAACTACCACAGCCTCCTTTGCTAATCCAGAATTGGTAGAGTTCGAAGCTATGGATCTGGATGCTCAGCTGGACAAGCTAGAGAAACTTAACTCCGGTCCTGGCAAAGCTAAGTCCAAAGCAGTGGGTGAGGCAATGGATAAAGTGAGAATCTAGCAGTCAACTGAGCTGGACTTGGTGAGAATAAGGAAACTGTCGACCAGTTGATGAAGGACCTGGATCTGTGCACAGGGAGAACATGGCTCCTAGGCCTATCCTTGAGATCAGCTTCTATCTGGCAAGAGATGTGTTTAACCTCCATAACTGCTATGAAGACCTCAAGCCCTCCTTTAATGCCTCTGAATTCTACAAGGCTACCCATGAAGCCAACTTGGCTGATTATAAAAAACAAAAGGCAGAATTGGATGTTTTAGTTGCTGATTACAAGGAGACCAAGTTCACTGCTGACAAGCTAGAAAAACATATCGAGGAACTCCAGAAGTAGCTGGCTAGGTTAAGGGAGAGGTAGAAGAAGCTTGGGGCTGGACTAGGCACCAAGACTAAGGCAACCTTCCTCATGCAGAACATGGTCTCAGCTTCTAGGCCAGCATTAGAGATTGCAAAGGCTTCTATTCACTAGGGAGTGCTTCTCCAGAAGGAGATTTCTACCAAAAAGACTGGATTGCAAGAGACCCTTAAAAAATTAGGACTTTAAACTTCTACTTTTTGTAATAGCGTTCTAGTCATGTAAAGATGACTATTTAATAAAAGGGTCTTATTTATTTTGTGAAACTTGTCCTTTCATTCTGTTTTAAACAACCAAAAACATAAAAAACATAATTTCAAAAATGAAAAAAATAAATATTCACGAGAACTGACTGCAAACACTTAAACAATAATTTCATCCTTTTCTACTTCGATCCCAGGATCTGTTTATACTGCCTGTGAATCCCACATGGTAGGATAGAACTTCTTTAACCATTTGTCATTAGTTGGCACTGCATAGATGTCCTCATCTTGGTCTTGTAACCTGTATGCCCCCAATCCAAGGACTTGCTTGACTATAAAAGGTCCTTCCCATGTAGGTGACCACTTTCCATAACCAGCAACCTGTGTTCCAAGGGGTAGAACTGCCTTCCAGACAACTTCTTCTTCTTCAAAACTCTTGTTTCTAACTCTCTTGTTATAGGCCCTTGCTACAGCCTGCTTCCCTGCTAAGAGTTTGTTGAGGTATCAATTCTGCTGGTATCCAGCCCTTCTAATTCTAGCATCATTGCCTGTGAGTAGTCTTCTCCAACCAAATTATGTTGTTGGGCAATTCTGATGGACTGAACTGTGATTTCCATTGGCAGAATTGCATCATGTCCATAAGTCAAAGCATATGGAGTCATGCCAGTTGCTTCTCTTTTTGAAGTTCTATAGGCCCATAAGGTTTCTAACAGTTTTTCATGTCATTGCCTCGGATTTTCTTCAAGCATTTTTCTGATAATGTTGATAATCATCTTGTTGCTTGATTTTGCTTGCCCATTAGCCTGGGCATAATAAGGGGTGGATTGAAGTAGTTTGAACTTGAATGCTTCTGCCATGTCTAGCGTTTCTCTATATCTGGAGGAACTTCCCCTCAGTGGTGATTGATTCTAGTATGCCAAACCTTTGCAGAATCTGTTCTTCTATGAAGGTAATGATCTCTTGGGATGTGGTAGATTTGACTGGCTTGGTTTCCACCCTTTTGGTGAAATAATCAGTAGCCACTATGATAAAACAGTGATGTTTTCTACTGGCTGGATAAATCTTGCCAATGAGGTCCATTGCCTATCCTCTGAATGGTCATGTCTTGATGACTAGGTTCATGGGGACTGAAGGAGCTTGCTGGATTAAACCATGCCTGACAAGCTTCACATCCCTTGGAATATTCTATGCAGTCCTTCATCATGGTAGGCCAAAAGTAACCATACCTTCTGATCAACCAACACATTTTTCTCATCATGGACTTCTCCTATGACTTTCATGTGTTCTTCTTTTCCTAAGCATCTCAAAAGTAGCTCATCTTTGCTTTTTCCTACCAACTCTTCATTCCACATTATGGTATAATTGACATCTATCTCTATCCCTCTAGTCAGAACCGATGGCAAACTTTTCTTTCCCACCTTGATGATTCTCTGTACACAGTCTTCAGTCATCCATACTCATGTTGCTATCTGAGCCATCTCATTAGCTGCAAAGTTTTCTTCTCTTAGAATGTGTTCCCAAGTGCCTTCCCAGAATTCTGCTAAGAGATTTCTGGCTGCTACTAGATAGACAGCTAAATAGGGGCTCAAACATTTGTATTCTCCAGCAACCTATTTTAGTACAAGCATAGAATCTCTCAGAATTTCGACAAATTGGATTCTTAGTTCTACCAGCATTTCTAGTCCTATGATTAAAGCTTCGTATTCTGCTTTATTGTTGGTGCACTGGAAATCTAGCTGAAATGAATAACAATGTTTGATTCCTAGTGGGTCTTCTAAAACAATCCCTGCTCTCGAGGCCAAGTCTGTTTTAGATCCATCAAAATATAGCTTCCAGGGGGTGAGATGGATTGAGTAAATGAGATTATTGAGACAGGTGTGAGCTCCGGTTAACAGATTTGCATTGGCTATGTCCATGGAATCCATATTCTCAATTTCTTCTCCTAGATGATCTGCTAAGAAATCTACAACAGCTTGTCCCTTGATGGACTTCTGAGGAACATATCTGAAGGCAAATTCTGACAGGGCCAGAGTCCATTTACCAATTCTTCCTCTCAACATTGGCCTTATTAGCATGTACTTGATTGGATCTGTCTTGGCAATGATGTAGGTGGTGAAAGGTAGCATCTAATGTATGAATTTTACAGTAGTAAAGTATAAAGCCAAACAAAGTCTTTCAATTGCATAATATTTCCTTTCTACTTCTATCAGAGTTTTGCTTAGGTAATAGACTGCCTGTTCTTTCTTTTCCTTGTTATCATGGACTAAAAGACTCCCAATGGATACTTTTGATGCATAAACATATAACTTGAGTGGTCTGCCTTTCTTTGGTGGGGACAGAACTGGCGGATTTGAGAGGTAGTATTTGATTTCCTCAAAAGCCTGCTAGTGCTGTTCTTCCCCATTTAAATATCTATTCCTACTTTAATCCTAATAAGAAGGAGAAATGCTAGATTTTTCCTGCAGAATTAGATATAAATCTTCTTAGAAATTTGATCTTTCCTAGGAGACTCTGCAATTATTTCTTGTGCCGAGGTGGCAAAGCTTCCATGATAGACTTTGCTTTGTTCTTGTCGAATTCTATTCCTCTTTGGTGGACCAAGAAACCTAAGAAATTGTTGGCTTGAACCCAATAACGCACTTCTTGGGATTCATTTTCAACTTGTGTTGTCTCATTCTTAGGAATGCCTGTTTTAGATTTGATACATGATCTCCTTTTTCTAGGGATTTAATCACCACATCATCTATATAAACCTCTAGAGAATGACCTATCATGTCA